TCCCTCACCCTCTCCCTTTAATATTGTATGTAGTAAAATAAAATTGTGTAGTCTTATATAATACATTTTTGTACTTAATTTTACCAGAATGGGAACTTATTCTAACTGAATTGCATATGGAAAGAGGATGCATTCCATCTTAAAAAAGAATGGATTCCATCTGAAAGAAGTATGGATTCCATCCCAGAAAGTATGGAATCCATCCCCCCAAAGTATGGAATCCATCAGCTATTCCATGGAATCCATCCCCCAAAGTATGGAATCCATCAGCCATTCCATGGAATCCATCTGGAATTTCTGGAATCCACCCCCCCTTCCATGGATTCCAAATGGATTAAGCCAGGGAGGGTAAAGTACAGGAATTGGTTGAGATATGGCCAAAAACATTTTCATACATGCAATTCGAATGTATCTCCTCAGTCAAATCTTGACAGAATTGCTTAAATTTTTGATTAGTCTACGGAGAATTAAAGTATCTATCTACGTATGCAATGTATGTGAGGTAATATTTAGGTTCTGTGGTGTAATAAATTTTACAACAAAAGACCGGTCACAACTGGTCTGGACCGGTCTTTTTCGTGTTGTGGACTGATTAGGACCGGTCTAAAGCGGACCGGTTGCGGTCCCTTAATATCTGAATTGGTCTAGACCAGTTGCAGTTGCCAGTTGCCTCGTTTTGAGGAAAAAAACCGGACCAGACTGGACCTGTGAACACTAATTTGAATGAGCTTCTGGGTTGGGTAGACTTTGGACAGTCACTCTGTGGGGAATAGGGCTGGGATTGTCATGCAGCAGGACACGCACTCGTCAAAGTCGATCATGTAATGGATACAAGCTTGGACTTGAGAAAGATCAAGTGAATACTCATGGCGTTGCATCTCTGCCATGGACCAGCCGTCGTCCCTTTCTTTGACTGGCACAGTGGTTTCAAGCAGATTGTACCATGGCATGGCCTTTGTTGCATCAAAAATGAGGTTAGTGTCCAGGGAGCCCACTGCTCTTTGAACCTATACCTGTGAAACCGTAGGGCTAATCGGGACTTCTTGACAAAGGCGTGAGTGCAAGATGGCTAGTGTTTGAAAGTCTGGTCTGGTTTTTTGATGCCCAGGGGCATTAACCATAACCGTAACCGCTCTGCCTTTTCCCCAGAAGTCAAAAGACCAGACCAGACCGCAAAAAACCGCAGTCTGTGGTCTTTTTGCGGTCTATAGACTGGTTTCAGTCTGCATCGGTTTTAACCGGTTTATGACCGGTCTTTAGGCCAATATTTAAAAATTATGAATCGGTAAATTTATTAACATCTCTATTAGCTTCAAAACGAGCCCAAGAACGTTAAATTCCGTTAGGAATTGGTGCTTCTATAAAATAAGTCTGGTACATCTATTATTCCCAAAAGTAATTTACATTTTAATTCATATCTCTCTCGTTTTTTGACCAAATCGTACGTCCTTGGGTGCGTTTTAAATGGTATTTAAGGGGCTACAAAAGACCAGTCCAAACTGGTCAAGACCGGTTCACGTTAACCGGTTTTTTTGCGGTCTTTACATCTCAAAAATAAAAAGACCGAACCACAGGTCCAGTCTTTTGCGGTCTTGGTCCGGTCTGGTTACGGTCTTTTTCCAGTCACAAGACCAGACTTTCAAACACTAGAGATGGCAGCGGAAAATATCCAGGGTACGCAGGAGAGAGTTTGTGATGTGGTGCTGCGAGGTGATACCACATTGAGATTATCCTGTGACCCAGGAACTGGGGTGCAGTCACCCGGTGCAGGACTCTTGTATCCTGGAGGGGAGGTGTATGGCTGCCTAGCTGTATAGAAAAGGGGTGACTCTGTCCACATGTATTATATGATGTGGTTGCAAAGTGAGTTTATTGTTATGTACTAGACACTATATAATGAGGAATAAACATAAGTAAATACAATGATCCTAGGTCATGCAAGAAGGGCAGTAGCACTGTATGCTAGCACATCATTACAAAGCCCCCCCATGAGATTGGAGTGTCGTCTGTTGGTACAAACACTTCTTATCATCCACTTCCTTTGGTTCCGTCCTTCCTATCTTGGATTCACCATATAGGCAGTAAGTATTCTACATTGATCTCCTTATAATAAGGGTCTTCTTTGATCTCGGGGTCATTCACCATTCTTGAGTTACTAGTTCATCCCATTATCCTGCCCCTAACAGTTTGAGAATTCGCCAGCATCGTCAACCCTTTCATATCTGTTAGCTCGGAAGCTAAAGATGTCCGATGAATTGAGTAGTTTAGTCAGGCTGTTATATTGTTGTACAGTCCTAAGACAGGAGGGTGACAGTGAACTAGCAGTGAGTGGTGATCCTGGCTGGGGTTTAATTCATTTGAAAGACCAGGGAAATGATTATTTGTAGACCCAGCAACCACCACGAGCCATGGTAATAGAGTGCTAGGAGCCAATTCAGTGACCAGTACTAGGAAGGGTAACACTGTTGAACTGCCCCATGGCCTAATAGGTCTAGACATATTTCCCCAAGGGGACCACATAAAGGTAATCTTCACGCTGTAAGGCTGCAGGGAACAGTTCCGTGATAATCAGAAAATGGGAGGTTAGAGGTTGGAGTGAGACTTGAACTGTCTCCGGGATTTGACTAGACCATGATGGGCGAAATGATCGATGAGGAAGAAGAGCAGGTGGCAATTTGGAGTGGCAATAGGATGAAAGTCCAGACTTGTGGTATGGTGGAGTGGACTGCCATCCTCAGGGATTCATATGTCGAACTGAGGCCCAAAGACTGGATTGAAGAGGTGAACATTGGTTACATCAATAATGCCCCTGCGATGGAGATTGGCAACATTTACGCAAACAGGATTGTTCTTTAATATAGGGTTTATGTGTCAGGGAGTGAGTCTTAGGAAATTTGGTTATGAATACATTGATTGAACCCAGGCCTCATTCCACATCAGTGGGACCGCACCCTATACTCGTAGATCATCTGAGGACTTCTGTGAAGTCTCTGTAATTGATGAAAGGTCCCAGTAGATCTATTCCAATTTCCTGCTTCGGGTGGTGTCCGAAGGTCCTCAGTCATTGTACTCATCCTGTGATTGCCGTCGTAGACCGCTGGCAGTATCCTTGGCTTTGTCCAACACAAGTCACTCTGGATATTTGCTTGATGGGCAACTGGAGGGGAATTGCTAACACTCCTATAGTTTGATTGAAGGTGAATCCCTCCACCCATATGAGCACTCCATAGAAAGCAAAGTCCGAGGAAGCAAATTCGAGTGGGCTGGTGGTTGCAATCCTTTCCGTTTGAGCCTTAGAGTCTTTGAAGAGCACAGCAGATGGAATTTGTGGGCTCGTTGATTCAGTAGTAAAGTCTTCTTCTCTCTGCGAAACCTTGTCATTCAGCCTTGTCATACAGGCCATCATGGTTGAGTTAAGAACCATGCAGACAGACTGGGTCCCTTCAATTTTTGGGGTCATATCTGCACCATTGGTACTAGGAGATTCTTGTCCTGATTCTTGAGCAGCAGGCTTACCTATCGCGCTTTTAATCAAGGCATTGATTCTCTTGAGATGGTCTTCAGTGGATTCCTCGGCATCCCTTGTACCCTGATAGCAATCATCATCATTGTTGCTATCATCACCTGGGGTCAGATGAGGAGGCTTCAAGAAAGGTAGTTCCTCGGATTTGAGAAGGGGAATTTCCTCTGTTATATTTGCGGTTTTAAGCTCTGCACAATCATTGGAACTAGGTTGGATACTCCGCTCTTGGGTTGAGTTCTCATAAGCATCTTCAGAACGTGGTTGTTCATTTGTTCAAATCCGCTACACATTTATCAAGGACCTTGAGAGGTCGGAAGGACAGGACCTGGTGACCCTCCTCTTGATCAGGGCAGTTAGTAGGAATCACCCACCAACACTGAGAGGCCCGACAATACAAACAGGCCATAGTTGATGGTGCCTGCTGATGGGCCAATGAGGGCCAATAACCCTGTGTTGATGAATTGGCTGATGTGATCCCACTATCAAGGTAAAGAAGGGTCAGCCAGCTACGTAGCATACACCAATCAGTAGGAAGTTGCCCTGGAAGTCAAGTCCCTGTATTTGTATATCGGCTGATGGCTGATAGCTAAGCTATGCAAGGTTGGCTGACAGTTTTGAACATTGTAATTGTATATCGGCTGATGGAAGATAGTTAAGCTATGCAAGGTCGGCTGACAGTTTTGAACATTGTATTTGTATATCAGCTGATGGAAGATAAGCTATGCAAGGTCGGCTGACAGTTTTGAATGTTGCTGGGTTGGTGATCGGCCGAGGGCCTTCACTTCTGATTAGCAGCTAGGCTATGCAAGGTCAGCAGACATTTTGAATTTGCCTGGGTTGGTGGTCGGCCAAGGGCCCTCAACTCTGGTTACCAGGGTCAGCTGGTGAGACCCACATGGTAGTCATGGTTCATGGATATCACCGAGTCGACCGGACATGAGAATTTATGAACACCTCATCAGCCGATGCATCACTGAGGCCAGCATTTTCAAGCCGAATCGTTTTTAGCTTGGCCTTTAATTTAGCAGCCGAGGAGAGGCAGACCTAGTGTTTGGAAGTCTGGTCACAGGACTGGAAAAAGACTGTGACCAGACCGGACCGTGACCGAACAAGACCACAAATTATCAGGACTGACAAAGACTGTAACCGCGGTTCGGTCTACAGTCCTCCACGGATTCCAAATTTTCAAGACCGAGCAAAAACCGGATTAACCGGTCTAAGACTGGTCTTTCTGAGGGCCAACTGAGGGCTGAACATTTGAACTAATTGTATATTTATTTATGTCTTTGATGAGAACCAAATAATAACATTAAAGTGTGTTCATCATCACAGTGACCACCTCCACTTCGTCACCATTGCCACCACCAACCACCACCAACCACCACCTCCCGCAATCATCATTCAAACGTTCAACGTTCAACTGTCGCCAACCACCATAATGACAACTCGGCAACGCCACATCATCAGCCTAACGAGCGAACGACGATGGACTTGCATGCCAACGGACGTTCTAGGTGAGTAGCGTATCCCCCTCCCTCTTCTTTTCTCAGACGAGAAGCAGGGGTCACTTGCCAACCAACAACTGACAAACGACAATGAGACATGGATGAACATTGGTGGTACACAGGCGAACAACGATGACACATGGATGGATGACGACGTGGCACATCAACGGATGCGCCACATTGTCCAGACAATGACGACTTGCGTTGTCATCTACATTACTAGAGGTGAGCAATGTGACGCTCTTCCCTCACCTTTTTTCACACAAAGCGCAGCGGCAAGGGCATGTCCAAGGCATGTCGTTACGGCGATGTGGCTGCAAACCAACAACCACCAGCTCCCTGTTCGACCACCCCTAGTCCTCTGCACTCGCTAATGGCAATGACGACGTGGCCACACCACGTCATCAGCTGAATAGATGCAGTGAGTCCAGATGGCATCATTGTCACTGTTTCAAATCAGGTGAGCCTCATGACTCCTTTCTCTCTCCTTTGTTCACGAGAAACAGGGGCAATGTGGCAACGGATGCACAAACAATGACACCCAATGATGACGAAAGACTGTCAACGTTCAAGTGAGCTAATAAACCCATCCCCCACTCCTTATGTCAAACAAGAAAAAGGGTGACATTGCCGTCAGTGCCTACAACATGGCACGTTCGTTGACGTCGATCCAGGTGAGCGATGTGACTCCCTTCCCCCTCTCCTTCTTTGACATGAGAAGCAGGGGCCATGTCACCGACGGCGACGCGTCAGTGACATGGCAACCAATAACCGACGAACGGTGATGTTTACACTCAGACAAACAACGATGACAGACAATACACGGATGAATGACAATGTATGGCATATGTAGATGATGACCTGGTGCATCAATGAATGGTAAAGGTGGATGTGAAGACACCTGCGGTTACTGTTACCCATGCACATTGCTATGAAGTCGCGTACGCTGACTGATTTGTACACTAAAATACATAATATTGTTGTTACATGGCCCTACAAAGACTGGTTTAGACCAGTCCCAAACCGGTTAAGACCAGAACTGGTTAAAACCGGTCTTGTAACCGCAAAAGACCGGTCTGTTGTGGTTTGGTCTGGTTTTTTGAAGTTTCTCCAATTGGGAGGACCGGTTACGGTTACGGTCTAAGGCACTGGGCACCAAAAGACCAGACCAGACCGGACTTTCAAACACTAGGCAGACCAGGCAGAACTTGCAGTTCAAAATTTCAACATGATCCGAGACAACATCAGTCAAACCAGCATTGATTAGTAAATTTTAACAAAAGAGTTGCAATAGGTGTAACTGACTTCTGGGATTTGAACCCAGGGCATACATACACGATGTACCCCTCCCAGTGTAACCACTAAGCCAAGCCAACGTTGGAAGACGATGTCGGCCAGTATCTTTTACCTGCCTGCAATTTGAACCCAGGCATCCAAGCTCGGCACTTTGTAAGTCACCTGTTCTCGGCATAAGACAACTACCCATTCTTGGGACTTTGGATGTTACAAGCCTTGGATTAGTAAATTTTAGCCAGCGTTACAAAAAGGCCGTCTTCGCTCTACGTGACTTCTGGGATTTGAACCCAGGGCATACATACCTCCCAGCTCAACCACTAAGCCAAGTCAGCACTGCAAGAGGAAGTTGGTCAGTATCTTTTAGCTGACAACCATGTCACTCTAATATAGTAGTAAGTAAAAAACTGTTTAGGATGAACAGCATGACTTGTTAGGGATTTGAACCCAGGGCATACATAGATACAATGTGTACACCTCCCACCTTGACCACTGAGCCAAGTCAATGATTGACCTGGCCTGAAAGCTCAGCACTTTGTAACTTACCCAGCGTAAGACAACTAACCTGGGTCTGCAAGCTCAGTAAGAATTGATTAGTAAATTTTAGCCAGAGTTACAAAAATGAAAGAGTTGCGATTGCTGCAAGTGACTTCTGGGATTCGAACCCAGGCATACATACACTCTGTACACCTCCAGCTTAACCACTAAGCCAAGCCAACAGTTCGGTATCTTTTAACTGCTGACCATGTCATTCTAATAGCAGCAAGTAAAAAAATTGTTTAGGATTTAACCCGGCATACATAGGTCGGTCAGTATCTTTTACCTGCAGTAAGTAAAAAACTTTTCAAAAAGCGAATCTATGACTTGTTCGGGATTTGAACCCAGGGCATACATACATATACTATGTACACCTCCCAGCTTAACTACTAAGCCAAGCCAACATTGAAGATGATGTTGGTCAGTATCTTTTACCTGCCGACCATGTCACTCTAATAGCAGTTAAAAGCACAGATAAATTCTGTGCAGTGACTTGTTCGGGGGGTGAACCCAGTGTATAAGACAACCCTGTGCCTGGCCAAGAGGTCTTATCAGTGCCCCCCTAATTCCTGCAGGATTCCAGTCATTCCTGCGGATTCCAGTGGATTCCAGAGGAATGAAATTTGGCAGGGAGTCCTGCTATTTTCTTCATTCTGGTGCTTTACCATTCTGGTGGAATTTCGGCATTCCGGAATTTTGACCGGAATGGTCCCCGGATTGGCAGAAACGGAATGCAACCGGAATCCAGTTTGTTGTTTGTTGGGCACAAGCCCATTGCCAAACAAACAATTGTTTGGCAACGGCTTTCATGCTTGTCCAAACACAACCCTCTCTCCTCCCACCACCACCAACCTCTCCTCCCAGCACCACCAACATCCCCGCTCCTCGTAAATGCGCGCCCGCTACCCACCCACGCCACGTCACCACGGTCACCTGTGGCCACCACCGCCCACAAACGTCGTCGACCGCCAACAACAACCACGTCAACAACAATGCAGCAACGCCACGTCAGCAAGCAAACGAGCCCCGGCGAGGTCGAGGCGACGTCAACGGACCGCGAGGGACGACCACGTCAACACACGACCACCATGACCACGCCCATGGAACACGACACGCCCCACGACGTCAACGGACGGCCACGTCAACAGACGCCAACGCCAACAACAACACGAACACGCCAACGGACGCCCACGTCAACAGACCACCACCATGTCAACGGACGACGACCACGCCAGCGGACGCCCACGTCAACGCACCACCACCACGCCAGCGGACGCCCACGTCAACGCACCACCACCACGTCAACGGACGACGACCACGCCAACGGACGCCCACGTCAACGCACGACGACGTGCCCCCGCCGATGGGAAACCAAGGTGCCACGTCGCTGTCAGCGACGTGGCAACCAAACGACAAACGACGACGACGACGTCGTCATTTCGTCGTTCACACAAAGGTGAGTCCCCTGACTCTCCTTCATCCTATCCCATCTCGCTAACAGCCACCACGACATGACACGACGACGACGAGTGCATTGTCCCTCCCCCCTTCCCCGTCCCTCCCTTCCCTTTCCTGCCCCCCTTCCTTTTCCTACCCCCCCTTCCCTGTCCCTCCCCATTTCCATGTACCCCCATTCCCTGTCCCTCCCCATTTCCATGTACCCCATTTCCATGTACCCCCTTCCTTTTCCCTCCCCCCTTTCCTGTCTGTCCCTCCCCATTTCCTTGTCCCTACCCCCTTCCCCCATTTCATTGTCTCTGCCCCCTTCCTTTTCCCTGCCCCCTTCCCTGTCCCTCCCCATTTCCTTATACCCCCTTCCCTGTCCCTCCCCATTTCCTTGTCCCTACCCCCTTATCCATCCCCTCTTCCTTGTCCTCTTTGATATGCACTGTATGTAGTAAAATAGACTCATGTCATTAATAAAATACATTAAATTCTGATCTATTGAGATGAATGACTTGACTAGGTGTGAATTTTATAAGAAATTCTGAGTATTGAGTTGAATCAATGCAGATTAAGTCACCTGACCTCTAGATCAGTGCTGATCCATTCTGATTGTAGATACTCTGATCAGAGCATGTGGGGGAGGGTAAAGTACTGCTATTTATGGTGGATTGTGGTCTTATTCAACTGGATTCCACTGGATTCCGGTCCCATTCCATTGGAGTCCTGTCCCATTCCACCAGAATCTGCAGGAATGACCAGAGTCCGACAGGAATAGGTAGGGCACAGTAAAGTACTGCTGGCCAAGTCCGGCAAAAAAATGTAACTTAGCTGACAACCATGTCTAATACTTGTTCGGGTGTGATTGAACCCGGTCCTATAAACTCAGCACTGACTTGTTCAGCATTTAAACTACAGTTCAAGCTGGGCCCGGACATGAGACCAATTGGAGTACGAAATCAAGAATTCACCCCTTATCCCAGATTTACCAACAATCTTTGGAAACCAGCATGGTCTAATGGTAGTTGGCTTCCGGGTTCAATCCCCGGCCATGCTTATGTTTATGACTCTTTCAACTCTTTTTTGCAATTTGGCCTCGAGGCCTGTGCTGCCATCATTTATGCTTCTGATATAGGGTTGCATCGAGGGTTGTAATTTAACCTGAAAACATGCATGTATCCCCCTTTAAAAACCCTCTCACATTTCAAGGACCCATCTTCACCCACAAGTATTAGTTACCTTACCCCACTAACACTCAGCCCCCCGACCATACAAACAGACCATAGTTGATGGTGCCTGCTGATGAGCCCATGGATCAGTTGACCCCATCAAAGGTGGACCGGCCATCAAGACTCTCTTAGGACTGGTACTGTGCATCGGCTGAGAAGTGTACTGAGGTCTTTACCATCCCCCATGAGTTCCAGCGGATTCCAGTGGATTCCATGGAATTCTGACGGAAACCAGTTGGCTGGAGCCTCAGCCATTTTGGTTTCCAATTCCATGGAAATTCTGACAGAATCTGACGGAATCTGGTGGAAAGGGTCGGAATCCAGGAGCCTCCCAGAACAGTTTCCATTGGAATCCATTGGAATTCCAATGGAATCCACATTCCACTTAAGTTCCAAAGGATTCCGTTGGAATTCTGAAGAAATGCAGTGATTACAGTTGTTATTATAATATAAAAAATAATGACATGAGCAAGGATTGAACCATAGCCATCACATGACTAAAGAAGAGCATGCTTACCACTGAGCCATAGAACCATTATAAGCTGAAGAATTATTCCTTTATACAAGTGGCTCTCGGCTGCACCTTCCCAAACAAGCCTCGGCAAACACTGATGCTTGATTTAGTGCCATCAACAAACCCTCAACCCTCTTCTTCCTCAACTACCGCCCCCCCCCCCCTCCTCACCACATCACCTACGACGGATGACGACAACCACAGACGACACCAACCACAGACGACATGACATGACCACCGAATGGCGTACGCGGCCCACCATCAGCACCCATGCACCCACGAACACCCACAACGGCCCATCACCACCCCCCACCAACGGCGACAAGGAGCCACCAGCACCAGCACCACCCACTAACATCAATGACGGCCCACCAGCAGCAGCCACCGCCATCCATGAGATGACCAGAACGGCACGTCACCAGTCCCTGCAAATGAACGAGCGCCCACCGGATCATGACAACGATGATGCGGCATGTCAGTGGACGTGCCTCCTCGTCTGACGGTGACGACACACGATGTCGTCGCCGTCCACATCAGGTATGGTAAGTACCCCCCGTCCCTCTTCATCCCAACCAGCTCACGATGACCCAGGACGACAATGCAAACGACAACAACATGCCCACGGCCCATCACCACCTCCCATAGTGTTTGGAAGTCCGGTCTCGTGACTGGAAAAAGACCGTAACCAGACCGGACCAAGACCGCAAAAGACCGGACCTGCGGTTATGGTCTTTTATTTTTGAAATGTAAAGACCGCAAAAAAACCGGTTAACGTGAACCGGTCTTGACCGGTTTGGACCGGTCTTTTATAGCCCCTTAAATACCCTTTAAAACGCACCCAAGAACGTACGATTTGGTAAAAAAACGAGAGAGATATGAATTAAAATGTAAATTACTTTTGGGAATAATAGATGTACCAGACTTATTTTATAGAAGCACCAATTCCTAATGGAATTTAACGTTCTTGGGCTCGTTTTGAAGCTATTAGAGATGTTAATAAATTTACCGATTCATAATTTTAAAATATTGGCCTAAAGACCGGTCATAAACCGGTTAAAACTGATGCAGACCGAAACCGGTCTATAGACCGCAAAAAACCGCGGTCTGCGGTCTTTTTGCGGTCCGGTCTGGTCTTTTGACTTCTGGGGAAAAGGCAGACCGGTTACGGTTATGGTTAACGCCCCTGGGCATCAAAAAACCGGACCGAACCGGACTTTCAAACACTAACCTCCCACGAGGACTCCCCACCACCCGACGGCACAACACGACGACACGAGATGACAACGGCACAACGACAATGGTACCCACGGACAACACAACGAGACACAACGGCGACGAGGACCACCCAGCAATGGCAACGACGGCCCAGCACGACCCCCCCCCCAGCAACGGCAACAACGGCCTAGCACCACCACCCAATGGCACGAACCATGACCACATACAAACGGACGATGCCGACGACACACCACATCGACGATGACAACACAACGCGATGCGACACGGAAACGACTGCCCACGTATGAAGATGATTGCCCACAACGACGAACGGCATTGTGGCCTTTGTCGTTCCCACAGCACTCCCTCCCCCCTCCCTCCCTCACTCCCCCTCCATCACTGCACTCCCTACCCCCTCCATCACTGCACTCCCTCCCCCCTCCATCACTGCACTCCCTCCCCCCTCCATCACTGCACTCCCTCCCCCCTCCATCACTGCACTCCCTCCCCTCTCTCACTCCCCACCATACCTCCCTCCCCTCTCTCACTCCCCACCATACCTCCCTCCCCTCTCTCACTCCCCCCATACCCTCCCTCTCCCTTAGATTAGTTCAATACTTTTTGTATATAGTTATCAATACAATATGTATGGTCAATCATCACTTTTGTATGAAATTCTAAGGTCTAAGTTACACAAAGTGGTTAGGTAATGGGTGGAGGAGTGATAAATATTGGTTATTCAGGGATTGAAGTTGGAATGTGTTGGAATGAAGTTGGAATGTGTTGGAATGAAGTTGGAATGTGTTGGAATTCCACTTGGAATCCGGCGGAATCTGAGATTCCTACAATTCTGGTGGATTCCAAGATTCCTGTGGATTCTGGCGGATTCCAAATGGAATTCCAACACTCCACCAGATTCTGCCAGAACTCATGTGGGAGGGTAAAGTACAGAGTGTACCCCATGAATTGACATAGCTAAAAATGCCTTGGATCCTGGGTCAACCAATCTCTTCATGGATTGGGCTCAACATGTGTCATGGGTCAGCTGAAGAGCTCTAAATCCCATGCATTGTGGATCAGCCCACAGCCATCTCATTTTTATTTGCCAAGTTTACCTCGGCTTTTCATTGCCGGTCATCATGCAGTTTACTGGGTCGGGTCCATCACCTACCAAGAAGCCGAGCACAGTGACATGGTCAGTCAGCTAGTACCCCATGAATTAAATATGCCTTGGATCCTGGGTCAACCCATCTCTTCATGGAATGGGCTCATGTGTCATGGGTCTGCTGAAGAGCTTTGAATCCCATGCAGTGTGGATCAGCCCAACCTGGTCCCATCCAGTTGACACTATATGGCCGAGTTTCGTTTTCACTCAGGTTTTATTTGCCAAGTTGCTCAAACATTACCTCGGCTTTTCTTTGCCGGTCATGGTCCAGTATTCGGTCATGCAGTTTACTGGGTCCATGACTTCCCAAGAAGCCAAGCACAGTGATGTTCACAGTTACTGCCAATACATTGAGGCAGTGAGATATATTATGCACACCCCTGGTTCAAAATCCCTACCAAGTTTATACTGACCAATGTTTCTCGTAAACATACCCATGTTGGAACGGGTCTGGCTCACACAACTGCACTTGGCTGCCTGAAATAAACACCAAGCTGTTACTATGCTGGTCTCCATCGGACAAAGTTGCTCCAAGATCCCCCTGCTTTTCTCTGCCAGTCACAGTTTACTGGGTCGTGAAAGAAGCCAAGGCCTTACTGCTTTCATTATTATGTCCACCACAGGACTTCATATTAAATAAGCCCAAAAAAAAAATGAAGATTGTCCAAAAAATATACATGTATGCTACTAACTATTAAGTAGAGGGAGTTTGGACAGTTTGGACATCATTGTTTGTAACTTGCTGGCAGTCAGATTTTTGAATCCTCACCAAGTAGAAGACTTACTCTGTGTGGGGGTTTGAAGTGTGGCTTCGAGTTTCTGTAGCCGAGGTGACTTCCTATTACCCCCAATGTAAGGACCAGGCAAACTTGCCCAGGTTGGAGGAATTGGGTTTGGCGCCAACAGAAGGACCGCTGGGCTCTCAGGTGCTGGAGGCAGAATGACGGCTGGGGTCGGAGAGACTTGTGCGTGATCGGTTGAAACTGGGTTTGGCAGAACGACACCTGGGGTTGGGGAGACTTGTGCCTGCTGGCTTTTCTGACCATGGTCGGGTGAGACTGAGTGATCGGTATTGATGCCAGTGTGCTTCTTCTCCTTGTTGCCGAGGAACTGGATAATGAGCGATTCCAGACTTGATTGGCAAGCACCGAGCTGCAGGTTGAGCTCCGAAATTGTAGTGACTGATTTGGTGAGGTCATGGAGTGTTAGCTCGGCAGTTTCGATGCAGCTTGCAAGTTTCTCAAAGCCCCGGGTGAGACTCTCTTGTAACGCAGCTGGCATAGTCTCCCACTTGTTCTCCAGTGTCTTGACAGCTTCCCTCATCTTGGCTTCCAGTCTCTGGTGATCACTTCGGATGGACTGCAAATCTTCTTGTGTTTCCTTCCAACACATGTGGGCAGACTCTTCAATACGGTCCATCTGGTGAGTCACTCCAGTGATTTTTTCTTCCTGAAACCAAACAGAGGTCTCCAGACTTGCAATTTTCTCCAAGAGAGGACGGCTAGCCAAATCTTGATCTTGAATAAACTGGGTAATCTCTTCGAGCGCCAAAAGACCTTGTGAAAGGGTCACGGGTGAGTCAACCACTGGGGGGAGAAGGGCACTTGTGTCAATATCTTGTTTTCGGACCACAAATGCCGAATAATCTCGCATAGTAGGGGTAGACGACTCCATGATGCTGACTTGCACTTGTTGGTCTCAGAGTTTCTGCAGGAGGTCGGCTTGGCCGTGAGCAAGTCTTCTGATCTCCTGCTGCATCGTCTGCATGTCAAAGTTCGGTGGGGGGCTCAAGGACCTAAAGTCAATCCTCTTCTGATAGAGCACCATGTCAATGAAGTTTTCAAGTTGAGAATCATGGGAAATGAGAAAACAACTTGAAACTTATGATGAACCTCCTTGGGATCTGGTGGGCTGACCTGCCGAGAACGAGATACCGAACAGGAACCTTCTGGCCAGGATGTGCACTCGACAGGTGGGGGTGTAAAGCTTTGTTGCATATAATTGACAGCCAAGCCCAATTCTATAAACGAAGTCAGCAAAGAATAACAAGCTTCATGAATTTTTTACCCGGCCGCATTGCTAACTTGGGCACAATCCACTCCATCTCACTGGCTGGCGGCCCAATCTCCCAGCCCTTTCCTTTGTCAGTGCTGGTACCAACCTTGGTCTCAGTGGTCTTGAAAATCGCTGATGTGTGTGGTGTGGGTGGCTCAATGATTATGGTGGGAGTCACCTGGCCCACGTCTTTGTCGGCTTTTGGAATGGCACTGACCTCGGTTTCCTCATGTTTGACTTCGGCCATCTCTATGTCGATACCACCCTCGGACTTCCCCTTTCCCATTGTCAGACCAACCTCCATGTCCACGTCAATTGCATGCTCTGCATCATGCCCGACTGCAGCCATTTCGACATCCTGCTTGCCCTTCTCTTTGACATCCTGCTTCACCTTCTTCACCTGGGGCTTCTTTGACCTTGCTTTCTTCCTCACAATCTTCACTTGGGCATCTCCTCTGGAGACTGTGGCCGTTTCAACATCCTGCAACCCCTTTTGGATCTTGTCTTTGACCTCACTGTCAGTGTCCTTTTTCTTGGTTACTGCATATGTGCAGGTCGTCTTACCTGTACTGCAGGTGAAGCAGGATCCTTGTTATGGGGGGTGACGGATAGCGCATGGAACAGTTTCTCGATCCATGTGTTTGCTGCAGGCCTCACAGGGTATAGTCGTGAGCTGATAATTGCCTTTTCGCAATTGCAGCATTCTGATTTGCAAGACGTTCGGCAGTTTTGGCTAGCCTTAAAGCAGCCATGGCGGTCTTGGGAGGACCAGCGTCGGGGTCTAATTTGGGCCTTCGGATGAGACTGAGACCGGCACTGGGTGTCATGTGGGAGAAATGGGGCTGGGACTTAGATTTAACCGCCTTTGCTTCCCCACCAACCAGTCAAAGTGACTCCGACTTCGGCTTCAATGTTTCCTCATCACTGCTGCTGTTGATGAACTCTGCACTCACGACTCTAGTCTTCTTTGGCCTGGCTTCGATCGAGTCCCCTTTTCTTTTTTTGCTTTGGACTGAAGTGGAGGGGGCAGTGGTGTCGTTAGGAGTCACCTCTGATCGTGGCTGGGCGCTGGACCTGGCCTTGGGTTTCCTTCGCCCAGACTTCGTCTTACTCTTGGACTTTGTTTCAGCTGCTGGCACAGGATCAGTTGATTTTGCCTGATGCATTGGTTTTGTTGGGGCCGGGAGCGATGATGAAGCTGTCGGTACCAGCAATGGGGGAGTTGGGACTGTGACTGGGAGTAGTGTTTGGAAGTCTGGTCACAGGACTGGAAAAAGACCATGACCAGACCGGACCATGACCGATCAAGACCACAAATTATCAGGACCAACAAAGACCATAACCACAGTTCAGTCTACGGTCCTCTACAGATTCCAAAATTTCAAGACTGAGCAAAGACCGGATTAACTGGTCAAAGACCGGTCTTTCAAGCCTCGAGTCTTGAGGGCCGAACTTAGAATATGTATTTACCTCTTATGTTTGTATGAGAACCAAATAATAATGCATTCATAACAAACAAACAATTTCCTACCACACCACTATCACTGCAACCACCTCCAATTCGTCACCATTGCCACCACCAACCACCACCCCCTGAAATCATCGTTCAACCACCACCAACCACCCCAACACTATCGACAACTTGGCAACACCACGTCACCAGCCCAATGGACAAACAACGACGGCGGATGGCGACGAGGACGGCGACAATGTACCATGTCGTCCAGACGGTGATGATGTGTGTTGTCATCGCTGACAACTGACAAACAATGATGACACATGGACAGATGATGACATGGTGTTGATGGATGTGCCATGTCGTCACTGGCTCCATTACTGGAGGTGAGCATTGTGACTACTCTCCCCCTCACCTTTTTTCACACAAAGACCAGGAGCATGTCAGTGCAGTGACAACCAACAACCACCACCTCCCTGTTTGACCACCCCCAACCACCTCTGCTCATGCTAACGACAATGACGACATGGCCACGCCACGTCACCAGCTGAATGGATAATGTGAGTGCGCACCGTTTCGACGACGATTTGGCACGTTAACCGTTGACGTGCCATGTCACTTCAATCCAGGTGAGCCCCATGACTCCTTTCCCCCTCCTTTGTTCATGAGAAACAGGGACGACATGGCGATTGAACAACAACACCCGACGATGACAAAAGACAGTCAAGGTCCAGGTGAGCAACCAAACTCATCCCTCGCTCCTTATTTCAAACAAGAAGAGGGCTGACGTCTCTGTCAGCGCCTGGGAATCATAAACGCAGAAAAACGACGATGACCATAGACGATGAATCACAGGTAGCGGGCAGGTGAGCCATATCACACCCCTTGCCTCTCCTCTCCCTTTTTTTACACAAAAAGTGGGGGCCACATTGCTTGACGACAACATAACTGATGATTGACGACGATACATGGATGAACGAGGATGGATGGCATAGTTACCCTTGCGCATTGCTATGAAGTCGTGTACCCTGACCCCCCTCGTACTTTAAAATACTTAGAATAATATTGTTTTGTGGCCACCTGACCCCTACAAAGACCGGTTTAGACCAGTCGCAAACTGGTTAGGACCAGAACTGGTTAAAACCGGTCTTGTAACCGCAAAAGACCACAAAAGACTGGTCTGTTGTGGTTCGGTCCGGTTTTTTGAAGTTTCTTGAATTGGAAGGACCGGTTACGGTTATGGTCTAAGGCACTGGGCACCAAAAGACCGGACCAGACCGGACTTTTAAACACTAACTGGGAGCAATGAATCGGTCAAAGATGGAGGTAAAGGGGGAGAGGGACCGGCATAACCTTCCATAAAGAAGGTAGGGGTGGTGGGTTGTGGGATCAAGAACATTTTGGTCCAATCAACTGATGGTCCTGCTTGGGCCATTTCCGTGTACGCCAAAATCCAAGGGTGGTTGAGCCACTGGGCCGCGTTATACCACATATTCTTGTCGATGAGCAAACATACAAATCGTTCCTGTAGGAGAAAGAGATCCAATTTCAGTCAATAAATCATTGTTAGTCACTCACAGCTTTCCCGTATGCATCCTCTTCCACCGTCCGTTGGTGGGCCAGAAGACCTTCCCTGTGACAGTTGTAAAAGTTCAAAAGCGTGGAGGTGGCCACCCTAACATCCTCCAAGAATCCGGGAGTGAGGGTATGGGCCTGTTGAGCAGCTTGAGCAAGTTCAGCAGTGGACATGGTAAGTGGGAATGGGACGATCAAGGGTGGTGAATGTGCGTGTCGGAATGGGACAATGGTGAATGTGAAATTACAAAGTTGTAAACGCAGTCACGTGGTGGCATTACTTCAACCGAGATCCACACAATGTTCAACCAAGATCTGCAGAATGTTCCAGTACTTTATAGTGCCCCACCCATTCCTGCAGGAATCCACAGGAGTCCGCAGGAATCCACAGGAATCTGCAGGAATGGGACAGGAATCCACAGGAATGGGACAGGAATCTGCAGGAATGGGACCAGAATTTGCAGTAAAAGCAAAAAAAAAGATACAAGAGTGTGCCAAGCATTCAGTCTGCAATTTTCATAAATAAATCTACTAAGTCAGACCTTATGCTGATAATTTAACACTCAGAATTCCCTAAGACACTTAAACTCCAGAGGTAAAGAAAAAATGAAGTATATTGCATAATTACATAAAGTTACTTTACTACATCTTTAGTTACAGAGAGGGGGAGGGAGTGGTGATCAGGAAGGGAGGGGGGAGGGAGTAGTGAGCAGCAAGGGAGGGGGGAGGGAGTGGTGAGCAGCAAGGGAGGGGGGAGGGAGTAAGGAAGGGAGAAGGGGATGGTGGGCAGTAAGTGAGCAGTAAGGGAGGGGGAGGGAAGTAAGGGAGAGGGGGGGGAGAAGGAGATGGTGGGCAGTAAGGGAGAGGAAGGGAGTGGTGAACAGGAAAGGAGAGGGAGTAAGGGAGGGGGAAGGGGATGGTGGGTAGTGGGTGAGCAGTAAGGGAGAGGGAGGGAGTGGTGAGCAGCAAGGGAGGGGGAGGGAGTGGTCTCGTTGGCACACATCGTCGACGCGTCATCGCGTCATGTTGTCATTTTCGTGTGTTGTCATCCTCGTGTGTTGTCGCCCTCGTTGGCGTCGTGTCTGCTGGGCATTGTGTTGTGTTGTGGGCGTTGGGCGTCATTTTGCAGGTGCTGGGTGTCGTTCTGTGGGCGGCCTGTGGTTTTTGTGGGTGCTGTGGTGTTTTTGTGGGCACAGTGGTGTTTTTGTGGGCAGTGGGTGGTCATTACGTGGGTCGTGAGATGCGGATGATGACCAATGACAACATCGTTGTTGTTGTTGTTCGTTGTTGTTCTGTTGCCACATCACCTCCTCACTTTGTTGCCATGTCGCCTCGTCGTCCACCTAGCATGTTTGCGTTGTCGTGGCCGTTGATGGGTGGTGTGGCATTGTCGTTGTTGTCGCCGTTGGCAATGTGGTTGGTGGGAGGGAATGGAGGTGGAGGGGAAGAGGATGGTTGGTGGTGGGTGGAAAGGAAAGGGTGTTGCATTTGTTTGGTAACATTGTGTTTGTTTGGTAACAGAAATAAAATAAACAAACAAATAACCGGATTCCATTCCATTCTGTTCCTGCCAATCCTGCAGAACATTCTGGTGTCAATTCCGGAATGCCCAAATTCCGCCGGAATGGTAAGGCACCGGAATAATGAAAATAGCAGGCCTCCCTGCCAAATTTCATTCCTCTGGAATCCACCGGAATCCACTGGAATGACCGGATTCCTGCAGGAATTAGGGGGTCACTGATAAGACCTCAAAAAGAGAAGTAATGGGACTTGGCGGGATCACCACCCCAAGAATGAAGGGGTCACTGGGATTGTAAATTTATCACCCAGCTGGTTTTCTCAAGGACATGAAGGTCCCGGGGATCCACTGCATGTGTCAGGCAATATTCAGGAACCTGCCAATTCAACTTACCTCCAGAATGTCATATTGGCCAATGCAATTGTTGGGGCAATCTATGCCATCATACAACCCGATCTTTTTGAGTCCGGTTTAGCCACCTTTGAGAAGCTTGCCAATCATGGGTGACCCACTCTTCCTCGGCCTCAGCATGCTTGATACATTCAAGGAGACAATCCTGAGCATTCTCCAACTGGGTCTTGATGTGCTGAACTTTGGCCGGTGTCAGCGTGGAGGTCTCAGTGTCTGGGTACTTATCCATCTGAACCAATTGTATGACCTTTTCAGAAGTTGGTTGACGCCCCCTGGTGGAAAGGTGATGCGAGTATTCCACCATGCAAACTCGTATGCAGGCTGGATATGGTCATCCATGAAGGCTTCCTGAGGGTGCAGTGGGTTACCCTGGAGACAGGACTTTAAAAAGGGAGGGACAATAAACTGGCAGGAAGGTGAGCTCAAAAAGAAAAAATCTGGGGCAAAGTTTTACTTTATGCCCATAGGCGCATGCCATGCCAAGAGTTGCTACAATGAAACCCTAACCAAAGGAATGAGTTTAGCTGGGCGCGGCAAAATAAAGCTCACCTGTTTGGCCGACATGTACTCCAACCAACAATTCTCGAACTCAGGGTCAATGGGGTTTTCGAGCTTTGTTGTCAAAATGGCTCTGAATCGAGAGGACCAGTAGCAGAGTACCTCCTGGAACTCTTGCTCGTCCTTCCAGAGGAGATTAGCCACTACAGAAGAATCTCTGGTAAAAGCTGGAGGCCGTATCTTCAGCACCTTGTCAACCCATTGCTCTGCTTGGCAGGGGTCAAATGACAGGTGTTCTTTTGCATACATGGTGGACAATGAGAAAGAATAGTTTGATTCAACTAGGATTAGGTAATGCAATGGCCTTGCACATGACCCTGGCATTTATAAATTCTTTGGTGGCCTGGAAGGCCAGTTCTTTCCACATACTGATTTGCCCCTCGGCAAAGCATACATGTCCCGGCTTGTCTGGCACCAAGTCCCTCAGCCCAGCCCACTCCCTTGCTTTGTTGATGAAATAGAGGTGGGTCCAGTTCATTTCATTTGGGATCAAGAGATGCTCTTCTGACCACCGGTCATATCGAGCTTTTGCTCTGAGCCAATTCACCTGATATACTTTGATTTGTCTGGTTTCAATTCATGCAGAGTAATAAAAGTGACTGGATCTGACCTTGTTCCATGTATGTTGAACCTGACGAATCATCAGCCACAGCCATATTCCAGAACCATGGCAGAGCAATATTTCTTTGACCCCGGGCGTTGCTGTAACGGGTATGATTACAGGATGACCCCTTCACCTCCTTAGTACGAATATTCCCGATTCAACACTTATGGTCACTAGTCACAGAGTCACAATTGCTTATGATACCTTCAGTCACGCTTGTACTTTCTTTTATCTTTTTATCCATCATTCTTGTTACCACTTGTAGTTCTCGAGTATCGTCCTCACGACTTGATCACACGCATAACAGGGATATTGTAAGAAGGTGAGTAGCATAGTGACTTACAGAGGAGAGCTCGTGACTCTCCTGTAGCTGATTCTATATTTCCTTTCGTCTTCCGCAGAAGATCTTACTACATCTTCTTGTGGCATTCTGAGGAAGAAGAGTACGTCTACACTCGTGGCTTACCAGAGCATCAGTAGCTACTCGTGTAGTAAGATTGACTCCTAAGACTCAGATTAGACCTTCAACGGAGGTCTTCACACCATAGTGGTAACCTTTTCCATAGAAGCTCACCAGTTTCACCTTGTCGTTGCCACTCGAACCCCATAAATCTATGTGGTCCTCTGAACAGGTTCCCACAAAGGTGGACACTGTGGGATCCAATGACAGCCTGGTCGGCTTAGCAGTTACAATGGAAGAGGAACTGAGCAGAGGGCGATCTGAAGGATCAAGGCCGCGGAAACCTTTGAGAGGTGCCCCTCCTTCTTCGTTAAGTCAACCTACCTACTCTGATTGTTCTCGATCTTCCTCTCCCTCTAAATTTAACAGGGCTTCTTCAAATACTACACCATGGCTACGAAGTCCTGCTCCGACAAGAGCGAAAAATCTACCTATCTCATCAACCCCTCGAATCCCTACAACTGAACGGAAGCCCCTTGCCAATTACTACAAGGCGCGCGACGAACAGCAAGACGTCGCTACCTTGCTTAGAAGGAGACAACCGTTAGGCGGTCATGCAGTTACATTCCAACATCATCGATTCCTACCTCGTAACACGGCGAACGCTCCATCTTCTTCTCCGAGTTTTCAACCTCAATTTCCATCCTCGGAAACCCATCACACCCCTAGCTCCGTGTGAAAGGGGAAATTCTCCCTTCCTCCTCTTCATCCCAGTTGATCAATTTTACTTCCACCCCATCCATCAAATCTATTCTAGATGACAGTGATACACTGGACATGAGTTCTACTATGGAAACTACATTGACGCAGACTTTCCACCCTGAGACGAGCAACGGGTTCAAGGGATCTCCCATGGCAAGACTCATCTTACAGTACAAGGAGTCAAGTGATGAGGATATATCTACACACCAACGTGCAGTTAACCTTTCGGTGAAAAAATCTTTGCTGATGAGTGAGATAGTTGAGTCCAAAGGATCTCAGAGGAGTTATACGTTGCATCCGACGTTATTGAAAGATATCACTCAAGTAGTAGGCGAATTACAGATTTTCCTAGAGAGAACGTCCGCTCTGATCCCTGAGCGGAAATCCTACTACAAGGTAGACCCTAGGGATACGTTCCTGTCTATCCTAAGGGAATCTTCCGACGCAGGTCAATTACAAGCTGCGTGGATGGCTGGTGTTTGCGCAGGAGAATTTATGGAAATATGAAGTGCAGTACCATAGTCCGTTAGCAGGCGAGAATATGAGCATGCCCACGTCGCCCGTTTCAACAGATGTGGGTATTTACAAAGCTATCGACAACATAGATGATAGGGACCTTCGTTTGAGATATCTATTCGAAAACGTCCCTCACCACCAAGATCAGATAAAATCTCCGCGCAGATTGAGGGATGGAGCTTCATGGACCGACATTCTCTCACTCCCAAATAGTCTTTCTGAGAAAGTTCAAGACAAATTGCCGACAATCGTCAAAGATTCGCTTGATGATCAAAATACACAGGGGATTTCTGAAGTAAAGAAAGGAAAAAGAAGGATAACCGACGAATTCATCAGTCCACCCTCGTCCCCTCGCATTTTGGATGTAGGGTTCGGCACTCCTTTCAAATCGAGCTCACAATTTTTCACCAGACCAGGAGGGATACCCTTCCCTCCAGCGGAGACTATGTTGCAACAAAATATATTGGTTGGTCTAGGCCTACCTCATACTCCTGCCTTCAAAAATATTCCAAGTCCGAGGGACGCGTCACAAACGTCAAAAGTCACTGCCCAGATTAGGCCTCGGGCTTCTAACCCATTCAAGCACAAGTATTAGTTACCTTACCCCACTAATACTGAGCCCCCCGACCATACAAACAGACCATAGTTGATGGTGCCTGCTGATGAGCCCATGGATCAGTTGACCCCATCAAAGGTGGACCGGCCATCAAGACTCTCTTAGGACTGGTAATGTGCATCGGCTGAGAAGTGTACCCCATGAATTGACATAGCTAAAAATGCCTTGGATCCTAGGTCAACCGATCTCTTCATGGATTGGGCTCAACATGTGTCATGGGTCAGCTGAAGAGCTCTAAATCCCATGCATTGTGGATCAGCCCACAGCCGTCTCATTTTTATTTGCCAAGTTTACCTCGGCTTTTCATTGCCGGTCATCATGCAGTTTACTGGGTCGGGTCCATCACCTACCAAGAAGCCGAGCACGGTGACATGGTCAGTCAGCTAGTACCCCATGAATTAAATATGCCTTGGATCCTGGGTCAACCCGTCTCTTCATGGAATGGGCTCATGTGTCATGGGTCTGCTGAAGAGCTTTGAATCCCATGCAGCGTGGATCAGCCCAACCTGGTCCCATCCAGTTGACACTATACGGCCGAGTTTCGTCTTCACTCAGGTTTTATTTGCCAAGTTGCTCAAACATTACCTCGGCTTTTCTTTGCCGGTCATGGTCCAGTATTCGGTCATGCAGTTTACTGGGTCCATGACTTCCCAAGAAGCCGAGCACGGTGACGTTCACAAGGCAGTGAAATATATTATGCACACCCCCGGTTCAAAATCCCTACCAAGTTTATACCGACCAATGTTTCTTGTAAACATACCCATGTTGGAACGGGTCTGGCTCAAACAACCGCACTCGGCTGCCTGAAATAAACACCAAGCTGTTACTATGCCGGTCTCCATTGGACAAAGTTGCTCCAAGATCCCCCCGCTTTCTTACTGCTTTCATTATTATGTCCACCACAGGACTTCATATTAAATATGCCCAAAAAAAAATTGAAGATTGTCCAAAAAATATACATGTATGCTACTAACTATTAAGTAGACGGAGTTTGGACAGTTTGGACATCATTGTTTGTAACTTGCTGGCAGTCAGATTTTTGAATCCTCACCAAGTAGAAGACTTACTCTGTGCGGGGGTTTGAAGTGTGGGTTCGAGTTTCTGTAGCTGAGGTGACTTCCTATTACCCCCAATGTAAGGACCAGGCGAACTTGCCCAGGTTGGAGGAATTGGGTTTGGCGCCAACAGAAGGACCGCTGGGCTCTCAGATGCTGGGGGCAGAAAGACGGCTGGGGTTGGAGAGACTTGCACGTGATCGGTTGAAACTGGGTTTGGCAGAACGACACCTGGGGTCAGGGAGACTTGTACCTGCTGGCTTTTCTGACTGTGGTTGGGTGAGACTGAGTGATTGGTATTGATGCCAGTGTGCTTCTTCTCCTTGTTGCCGAGGAACTGGATAATGAGTGATTCCAGACTTGATTGGCGAGCACCGAGCCGCAGGTTGAGCTCCGAAATAGTAGTGACTGATTTGGTGAGGTCGTGGAGTGTTAGCTCGGCAGTTTCGATGCAGCTTGCAAGTTTCTCANAGCCCCAGGTGAGACTCTCTTGTAACACAGCTGGCGTAGTCTCCCACTTGTTCTCCAGTGTCTTGACAGCTTCCCTCACCTCGGCTTCCAGTCTCTGGTGATCACTTCAGATGGACTGCAAATCTTCTTGTGTTTCCTTCCAACGCATGTGGGCAGACTCTTCAATACGGTCCATCCGGCGAGTCGCTCTGGTGATTTTTTCTTCCTGAACCAAACGGAGGTCTCTAGACTTGCAATTTCTCCGACAGAGGACGGCTAGCCCAATCTTGATCTTGAATACACCGGGTAATCTCTTCGAGCGCCAAAAGACGTTGTGACAGGGTCACGGGTGAGTCAACCGCCAGGGGGAGAAGGGCACTTGCGTCAATATCTTGTTTTCGGACCACAAATGCCGAATACTCTCGCATAGTAGGGGTAGACGACTCCATGACGCTGACTTGCGCTTGTTGGTCTCGGAGTTTCTGCAGGAGGTCGGCTTGGCCATGAGCAAGTCTTCTGATCTCCTGCTGCATCGTCTGCATGTCGAAGTTCGGTGGGGGGCTCAAGGACCTAAAGTCAATCTTCTTCTGATAGAGCGCCGTGTCAACTAAGTTTTCAAGTTGAGAATCATGGGAAATGAGAAAACAACTTGAAACGTACGATGAACCTCCTTGGGATCTGGTGGGCTGACCTGCCGAGAACGGGATACCGAACGCGAACCTTCTGGCCGGGACGTGCGCTCAACAGGTGGGGGTGTAAAGCTTTGTTGCATATAATTGACAGCCAAGCCCAATTCTATAAACGAAGTCAGCAAAGAATAACGAGTTTCATGAATTTTTTACCTGGCCGCATTGCTAACTTGGGCACGATCCACTCCATCTCACTGGCTGGCGGCCCAATCTCCCGGCCCTTTCCTTTGTCAGTGTTGGTACCGACCTCGGTCTCAGTGCTCTTGAAAATCGCCGATGTGTGTGGTGTGGGTGGCTCAATGATTATGGTGGGAGTCACCCGGCCCACGTCTTTGTCGGCTTTTGGACTGGCACCGACCTCGGTTTCCTCATGTTTGACTTCGGCCATCTCTATGTTGATACCACCCTCGGACTTCCCCTTTCCCATTGTCAGACCAACCTCCATGTCCACGTCAATTGC